ATTAAAATCATACATTTATAGTCCGTCTTGAACATTGATATATAAATCAGGTGATTTTCAGAAGAATCGACTTCTAATACTTATTTTTCGTTTTTCTCAAAATCAATTTTTTCGATCGTACCGTTTACGTGAGCAAGGATTTCTTAATAACGACTCAATATAGAAGTGATAATTTTTGTTTTTGTTGAATAGAGGACAGTTAGGGCTAGATCCTCACAATCTCCGATTTTTGAATTTCTCTTTTATTGAAATAAAAAACTTAGATATTTCAGTTTGATGAGCATTTTGAACTTGCACATGTGACGAAAAAAGAGTTTTTAAAAATCGGAGAACGTAAGGATCTAGCCCTAAGATCATTCTACAATTTAAAAACCAGCCCGGCATGATTACATAGTAACCCCATTGTGAAATCCTTTCCCGCGTAACGGGTAATGAATTCACTAGAACTTGTGTATAAGTTAGAGATTTGGGGGAGATATTCTAACCAAGACTAACATTCTCTGAAATTTTTCATTGACATCGGAAGAGAAAATAACAAAGTTCGTTTCTGAGGGGGGTCCCCCTTAAATGTCAACTATCTATATTTGCTATGATAAAATTTATATTAAAGTCAAACTTGAACTATTTTATCTGATTATATTTTAAATAGATAAACTTAACTAGTCTTGCTAAGAAAAATTTGAACATATTCCTATACAAGTATAGCTTACAGAATAACTGATTTAAGCTTGAATTTATGAAGTATTATTCAATATCTTATTACCAATTGTTCTTTTTACATATGTATATGTACATATAATCAAGTATCGTTTATGATCAAATTAAATTTTAGTTGAAGATTTAACCCTGAAATAAAATGTTCACTATTTCTTTCGTACATATACATATGAACCTATTAAATTACTTCTCATTCTAATCTTTTATTATTCAATCAATTGTATACAAAATCCGATGGCTTAAAATATCAATTACATAAAAATATTCTCCTATAAATTTCGTTCATTTTTTTTTCTTCTTCTGATATTCATTATAACATGTTTCGTTCAATTGTTATATTTCTTATAAATTTAATTCTTATAACAAAAATTTCAAGTGAAAATTTAAGTGGAATATATATAATTGATTCATGTGAATGTAATGCTCCAAAAGAAAATTGTGAAACAAATGGACCATTTATATTCGATCAACAACGAACAACACTTGCTATTCGACAAGGAACAGTACAAGTTGGTGTTGGTGCATTAGAAAATGATCAATTAGATTTATATTTTAATCGTAATCGTTGTAAAGGTGTATGGAATGGAAAAAGTCGACTAGCAGAATTAACATGTCAACGACAAGGTGGAACTATTTGTTCAACTAAACTTCGTTGTATGTCAGGTTCATGTCGTGATGCAAAATCAATAAGTATTTCATCATCAGCAATAACAATAACTATATCTGTAGTATCGATTATTAGTAGTTTATTTATGTTGCTTTATTAGACAAAAGGAAAATAAACAATAAAAAATTTAGAAAAAATGTAAAAGCAATGTGAAGCTAGGAATGTCGATCATCAAAATAATCGATCTATTAACATGTTCTCGAATAAATGTTAAACGAAAAATAAACTAGGGAAAAATACGAATAGCTAATAGATCATAACATATCTAGAGTACTATAAATATTATTTTAGTGTTTTGACTGAGCCGAATACCAAAATTCAAATTTATTGATGATAGAAAATATTTCATATTGTTTAGTATTTTTTTCCGATCATGAAGATTTTTGAAACAGTCATTCTCATTTATATTACTCAGATGCTTTCTTATGTTGTAGGCATACAGCCACAATGTGCATATTTATGAAAATAAGAAATTCTTGAACAGTCGTTAGCGATATTTTTAATATATGATGCTAATCATACTTCGTATATAGATTCTAATGGCACGCGATGATTATAAATTAATAAACTTAAAGAGAAAGGACATGAATGTAATGTAATGAACAGTATTGAATTGATTATTCATGCATTTTTATTAATTCAAATTCGTCAACGTGATAAAAGGATACAGACAGATCAAAAGAAAGAAACATGAAATTTAACTTTTCTTCAGCAGCCGTTTGCTTCCATATTCTATCTGCACATTTTCACTTCCTCTACAGACACGAACCCAAGAAGTTTTTTATTGTTGATCTTTCTTATTTGTCGTAATTGCCGTTTCCAAAGAAATCCAACAATATCATGTAATCGACGTTATGGTCAATGTATTTGCAGAGACATCAAGCATGTAATACCATGATGATCTTTTTTATTTTCTTACTTTTAAATTTTAAAAACTAGCATTCATATCTTCCAGACGTTCTTTTCTCATTATCATTGTCATCCACATGAAAATTGTATGAATCTTACTTCCATACGATCATGACGACATTTTTCACACTAAACAAAAGTGAATATTATAGTACTTGTCTAATATGAGTTTGAATGTAAATGTAACTTTCATAATCAAGTATGGAATCAACATCCAAAAACAAACCATAAATTCTTTTTCACTTATAATTTTCATTCAAATAACAACTTTTCTATCGAAATAACAAAAAAATTCGAAAACACTAATTTTATTTTGAAAATTGATATTGAATTAGAATTGCGTAGCAGTATATGGCTGTCATGAGTAAGGTTCATATTTGCAAGTAGACAACTCTCAAAATATTGTAATACTAAATCGATATAAACTTGCATAGGCTTCTATATATGAAATTTGCATGTTTGCTATTTTTATATGAAAAATACATTTTGCACTGTTTCATTACTTACATTTGAAATATTCAATTTCAATCGTCTTAATCGATGTCTTTTATGCCAAATACATCGTGTGTCACGATTGTTCTTAAAAAATTAACCATGAAAGTGATAGATTTGAATCCTATTTACAAATTATAGTTCTTACACATATAGCTTTTGAAAAAAACGGAATTTGCAAGGATAGAAAATATATTCTGTTCTGCTTTTTTTAAAGTTTTTAAGCATTTATAATTTTCGATGTATGTATCGCTTAACTTGACTTAGTTTAATTTGTAAAAAACAGTCTAGATAGTGTATATCTGATGTTATATCGCGTCACAAGACATGTATATGTTTGTAATGAATCATCAAGATTTTCTCATTTTTGAAAAAATCCAACTTGTTATTTATTCACAATATAATTTCGAATATATCTGTGTTTAACATGAAGAAATCAGGATGAGTTTTCGATGAAGCTCTACATGAATTTTAATTATTTAAGTATCCTATGTTATTTTTTTAATTCATTTCATGAAAATTGTTCAGAATCCCATATTTCAATAAATATAAACTCATATAATATTAGTTTTATCTTGTCATAATACTGTATCTGAGAGTTATATTCAAGTGATTGAATGATCTTTCGATTTCAACATCATGTAATTTCGTTGATGAAACTAAATGTTCATTCTATGATATTTTTCATTAATTTAAATTTTAAGTTAATTTTATTGATTTGATGAAAAGTGTTTTGTTTGTTACTAGAATCCAATTATCTTTCAGTATATCACGGCATTCAATAATACAAAATGAAGTATCAATTGAAGTTCTTGATAATGATGGTCTTTATGATTGAGGTATTGATGCTGCATTTATAAATCCTATTTGTAATAGTTCAACAAAATGTTTTTTTTTATGAACAATTTACTTCACTTCACATTTTTTGTTGATATATATTACTATCATATCTAATGGTTTTATATTTATCGTTTGTTCATTATCAACATATGTTATAAATTGTTGAATGACAACAGATAGTATTGAATCTTTCATTTGAAGAAAGACTTTTTGGACATTTGTAGTTCAGATAGCGAAGATTTAATGGTTATTAATTGATGAGAACAATATAGTATTGGTACTCTTAATATGAACACCTTTCTACTCTATACAATGAACACTTTTTTGATCTCGTTCTACTATCTAATACTTGTTTTTTTATGCATGATTCGATTGTTCAACTAATTAAGAAACGAATGACATCACGACACAAACTTACTTTGCAAGAAAAATATTGCATTCGGAATGAACAGATGAATTCTAGCCTAAATAATCAGATGTTTAATCAAAACTAGTGTAAAAGTAGATATTCTGGAAATAGTATGTGCATTCCACAGTTTTTTAAAAATAATTGAAAAATTGTTGAGATTTTAATTCCTTTTCATCTCTATAAGAACAAACCCGTTCCAATATATAGGTTAAAATTGAATAGGTATAATTAGCTAAATTATATTTAATTTATCAAGTAAAATATTCGAAGTTGAAAAGTCATCTTCTTTTGATTAAGAAGTTCTTACATCAGTGATATTCAAGATTCTCTCGAATACGAAATGCGATGCGAAGCACAAAACGTCGATATTCAGAAAAAAAAAAGCTGTAATCGATTCTAGAATCAATATCAAGTGTTATTTTCGGTCAAGGTGTGTACGCTATATTAGATTTATACGCTTCTCTCTCTCTCTACAGAAACTCTATCAAAGGGTATCGTCATGTTTCTACAGAACATTTTCGATTGATAGTTTAATTATTTTTATGATTACGAACATCAGACGATGTGTCGTTCTTCAGACCATCTCGTCACAAAATATGGACGTTGAATGTGTATGCGAAGGACTACATAAATACTGTGCTTCGCACCATATTTATTATTTCTAGGATAAAATATAACATAAAATTTTATCAACACAAGAACAAAAAAAAAACGCAAAGCTTGAATATATTGCGAAATAAAAATAACAGTTTTTAAACAAAAAAATTGAAAAGTGCATCTGTCGAAATGATCTTTGTTATAGTTTATTACGTTACATAAATATTAAATAATAATCACAAGTGTCTATCTTATATAAATACTGTTCTCAAAAATTGCAAAATATCACATTTGAAATAATTTGTATTTACACATAACTATTTTGTACTGTCAGAAAAGAAAAAGTATAAATGTTTATTGTTCAATTATTTAATCAAAGTCTATATTAGGTTCATCAGGTCGACAATATTTATTACGTTGATTAATATGTTGAGAATATGAACCTAAACAAAAAAAAAAGAATATGATTTATCACAACAGATTAAAAAAAAATATATTTGTTTCGTTTAGAAATCACATTAGAATATGTATGAGCTCAAGAACAAATGTTGAATATATATAGCAAGACATGCTTATCTTGGAATATCTGTCTTACTTCAACACATATTTCACGATTTCCTTAGTATATTACTCGACTCATATAAAGAGGATAAGGCTATTAAAGATTTCTATTTGAATTTTATACAGGTCGGAATCGTATTTCATTTAAAACTAGATTGTTGATAACACAGCTAATGTAGCTACTGACAAGGCATACTAGAAGGAGATGGGATTTTCAAAATTGTTTTTGGAAATATAGGAGATTTAACTTAAAAACCGAGTCTTCCACCATTTAGTTGCTAATAAAACCTATTTGAATATCAGAAAAATAATTTTATCAAAAAGCAATCTTTTGCAGGGCGATATGAATTTTCATTATGGAATGCCATGACTTTTTATTTTACACAAAGGAAATAACACTAGTCAATACTAAATGGTATTAGCATTGTGACAGACTTAATCGATTTATCCAATATTAAGATAAATTTGAAAGTGATCAATATGAATTTACGAGACTAAAACGTAAAGACAAAAGTTCTATAGCCTCCTGTTATTAACCATTATAATTAGATTAAATTATGTATTCATTTTTTTAGCATCTTAAAGGATTCTGTAGAAATTTGAAAACATTAAGTTAAAATCAAAATTTTTTATTGTTTCCAAATATATCTATGAGTTCAATCTTCTTTTACCGCATACGTTATGATAGCGATTTCTTTTTTCTTTTTAATGTAGAATTATTTTATTCAGAAATATATATTTCTATTTAATTTAAAAGACATACCAGAATGACTAAATCGTTTACCACATTTATCACATGTATAAGGTTTTTCACCTGAATGTAATCTTTCATGTTCTTTTAAATGATGTTTATGTTTAAATTTTTTTGAACATATTGAACATTGATAAGGTCGTTTATCATCATTTGAATTACGTCTATTTCTATGAGATGAATTCATAGTACTATTACTAAATATATCATTTAATCCATGTTGTTTTGTATTATTTAAAAAATTGCCTATAGTTCGATTTGTTGAAGTTCGATTTTTTGAATGTAAAAATGATGATGATGATAATGATGCTGGAGACATTGAACTTTCATCTTGTTCATCATATATTTCACTATTATTATCCGAAAAAATACCTAGAAATAATAATCAATTATGATTGTTGTTGTTATTGTTGTTGTTGGTTTTTTTTGTTTTTATTTTGATGTTTAATAATAAATTTTCTTTGTTTTAGTTCTAGCAAAAAATACATAGAAAATTTCTTGATACATTCAATATGGTTTTGTGTCAGTAATTGGTAACGAGCAATGTAAAAGAAACAAAAAAAAAAAAAAAGAATCAAATTCTAACAGACAAAAAAAAAACGAACACAAAGATCATTCGAATGAGTTTTAAACGCTTGGCTGACAAGGCTTCTCTTGTTTTTGTTTTAAAGAACAACACATTCAAAAGAAGGAAAAAAAAATAATAATAATACAATGGGAGAAAATGCACACACACACAAAACACAAAGTTTCTTAATAATTATTATTATTTATATTGTCATTCTCTGTAAATGTAGAAATATTATTTGAATCATCATCATTTTCACCGGTGTTTCCCATAAGCATTTTTTCATTAGGAAGAGATGTTGTTGATGTTTCTACTGTACTGCCTGAAATTGGAAAAAGAAAAAAAAAACAACAACAACAACAATCCATCAATTTATTGGGTTTTGTGGGCAAATACTAGTGTATATAAAAACAATCAGAGATGATGGATTATACACAGAAGAGAAATAACGACAAGATACAACATATATGTGCTCTCTCTCTCCCTCTCTTTGGTCAAATAATATCAATATGAAAACAGAGAAAACTAACACGACAACTACACAAAGACGAACATCATACAAAAATCAAAGTAAAAAAAAAACAAAATTTCCTTCTAACTAAATAGTACATCTTGTGAAAGCGAAAAGCATTAAAACTAATTCTAATTGTTTTGTTATGTTTTAAAATATATATATTTACTAAAAAAAGTAATAAACATTCTAAAGCATATAATAATACAATTTTTTTTTGTTGTTTTCTGGCCAGCAAAAGAACGCATTATATACAGTTATATAAGTTTTTTTTTTTTTTGCTTAATCTATCACATGCAACATCTACTAAACTACAACAAATAGGAAAATGAAGAAAGAGCATAAATAAAGCAAGCGAATGATATTTAAATTTACCTTCGTTTCTTAATAATATTTGAGCAGGTGAAGCTAAGAAATACATAAGAATTTTATTAAATCTATAAAAAAAATGAATTACCATCACTTTGTTGTGAATCCATTGATTCTTC